GCTGCTTCTCGGCGTGGGCCCCCCCACCCCGCGCCCTCCCCTCGCCCCGGCTCTTTCTCTCCGCATCCTCCACCGGGATATTGGCCGGGGTCCGCTCAGCCAAGAGCCGACGTTGTCGGGGCTGTTGTTGCTGAAAGCTGCTTAGCCTTTGAAATAGTTAATAATTAGATTAAAACTTCAAATAAATTAACTAGGGGCTGAATGGGCTGGCGGGAGGGGGGCTGCTCCTTGCAGGGGGATCATTATAATGGAGCGGGGAGGCTGGCGGTGGGGAGGGGGTGTCCCCTCCCAGCAGGGTCTCCCCCCAACCTGTGCTGGGCTCGCCACTGCTGCCAGGATGGATGGTGGCACGGGGATGGCCGTGGCTGGCAGAGGTGGAGATGCCTCCTCAGGGATGGTGCCGAGGCTGGGCCCTGCCGTGTGTCCCCAGGGATGTAATGGAGCATCCCCGTGTCCTTCATGACAGCATCACCAGCCAAACCGTGCCGGGTGTGTCCCCAGCTGTTACACTGGCCAGCATCACCTGTGTGCCCTCAGAGCCACCTGCAGCAGAGGGGTCCCTGTGCCCACAGCACTTCGATGGCAGGTGAGGGGGTTCAGACCCCTTTCCACTGGGGGGGGGTCCCAGAAAGCCCCTGAGATCTAACCAGACCCTCTGCACACCTCGAAGAGCCCTAGTGTGCTGCAGGCACCATCCTCAGCCCTGATGTCACCACCTGCCCCCACCCTGGGGATGCTCCCAGCTGCCAGAGAACCCCTGTCCTGGCTGGGAAGTCTTGTCTTGGGGGCCCAGGGACAAGGGTCAGGCAGCAAGGAGGCTCTTACCCCGCTCAAACTTGATCTCCAGCACGTCTGGGGTGTCAGGAGAGTTGGCTGGATCACAGGTCTTGGTGTAGAGCCCAGGAGGAGCCTGGTTCTGCAGGGAGAGGGAGAGAAGAGGGACAGGCAGTGGCATTGCCACAGCCAACATTGCTGGCAGCCCCAAACCATGCACATCCCCCTGCCAGGGATGCATCCCCCATCCCAAATCACATCCCCCTGCCAGGGGTGCATCCCCCATCCCAAAGCACATCCCCCTGCCAGGGGTGCATCCCCCATCCCAAAGCACATCCCCCTGCCAGGGGTGCATCCCCCATCCCAAAGCACAGCACCGACGCTTACCGGGGGCCCCGGGAACAAAGGGGTTGGCAGAATCAGCCAATTTTTCCCCTCAACTTGATCTCATCTTTTCCTCCAACGCCCCCACAGCTGGAGGCGGGATGGCTGTGGAGAAGCAAGTCAGGCAGGGAAAAGCAGGACGCTGGCAGCGAGCGGCAGGGCAGGCAGGCACCCGCACGTCCCCGCACCTCGGCCGGGCTTATTCGGCACTGACCGAAAAAACTAATGAGCAGGCCTGACCCCAGCAGGTGCTCCCGGCACACCGGCTCTTTCATGGTGTCCCCGGGGTTAATACACACAGGGGAAAATAGAGCAGCAAAGCAAAAACCCATTTCAGAGCACATCAACCTTTATGTATATATATATATTTTTTTTTTTCTGAGATTTATAGGGAAGAGGCATCTTATCTCCATCAGAGCCAGGCCAGCAGAGGCTCGGGTGCTGATGGTGAATTGCTGCAATTGAAGTGCGTGCCAGAAGAAGCAGGGGGGGAGGGAATGTAATATAAAAAAGCTTTCCGTCCCGGAGAGCAAATGCTTTGCAATTTCACATGGCCCCTCAGCACTCACCCATGATGCGACTGCACAGGCTGACCCCAAAATACTTCCAGATTTGTGTTTGTAAGCTCCTGCCTCCAGAGGGACTCCCCACCTAGCCACTGCTCCAGGAGGTGGAGGGGAATGGAGGCACAGAGCACCCAAGGCACGTGCAGCACCATGGAGAGTCAAGCAGCCTTTTAAAAGGTGGCAAACTGGTATTTCCCTACTAAACCCAGCTGGGCAGAGCTGGAGCTTTGGGTGTCTCTGGGCAGGGGGCCCTGCCTTGCACCCACCTGCCCAATGCCTGGCCCACGCTCTCCCTGTTCCTCTTTTCCTTTTTAAAGCACAGCTCTTCTGCTCACTTCATCAAATCATAGAATAGTTTGGCAATGGAGGGGACCTTTAAATGTTCCTTTTCTTCCTTTCTCTTACTTTCCAGCAAGAGAAAAATTGATGAGATATAAAGCAAGTTAGGAAAAAAAGCCCCATAGTAATCCAACCAAAAGTGATTGCTCAAAAAAAATAAATAAATAAATTACACTTCTTAAAGGGAAAATTAATTTCTCTACAGGAGAAATTTTAATCTAATTTTTTTTACCTGACAGGCAATAAGAATTTTACTAAGAATTCCATTTATTTTTGTCCAAATGTATTTACATTTGCTGGATCACTGCCAGCACCTGAGAGAACCCCACACAGCTGCAAGCATCCCATCCCACCCTCCACACTGGGAGGGGACCCCTTGCCTCACCCCAAACCTCGGGGTGCACATCCCAACACCAGCCACAGCTGAACCCTGTGAATACAGACCTAGCTGCCCAAGCACTCACTGCAGCAATCCCCTCCCCAATTCCCATTTGATGTAATTTTTGCCCCTTTCCCTCGTTTTAAGGGAGAGGCGTTGGCAGGCAGGCACATCTCCCCTGTGCCCCCAAGCACAGATTACACGGGCTATGGATTTCAATTTTACATCGTCTGCCCTTTCCTAGCCCTGATCACACTTATTAACTAGATGAACCTGTGAGAAATGATGAAAAACTTCGAGTTCAAAAGGAAAAGGTGCAGGGGGGTGGGAGGAAAAAATACTGGAAAGTATTAAAAACTCTTTACTAAACATTGAAAGTCAAAGTCAGGTAGTTTCCAATTTTCCGAGCCAACTATGAAAACCCCTATTAAATAAAATAACTAAATAGAAATAAAAGTGACATTTGGCTTGCATTCCATCATTACGGTGTGAGTCTGTCCTCTTTTTATTCTCTCTCCTAAAAGCACAGTTCAAATGACAAATAGTTTGTTGCAGTGTATCAATGCCTTCTATTTATCCCTCCCCGCAGGGGGGCTAGTCCTGCAATGTCATCTTTAAAGGGGAGAGAGGAAAAAAAAAAAAAGGGGGGCAAAAAAAAAAAAGGAAAAAAAAAAAAGGAAGAGTGTGTGGAAAGTGAGAAAGGGAGGGGGGAAGAAAGAAGCAAGAAAAACGGGGCAAGAAGAGAAGAAATTGGAAGCAAATGGTCCATGAAGTAAACCATGATGCAGAGCTATCGATGCCGCAAATGGTTTATTCATCCGGCTGATATTGTTGTGCCCGGGACTGAATGAACTCTTTCAGAGTGCCATATGAAGTTAAAGCAAGTAAATTTCTATCTTTCTCCACATTAGCTGCCTCATTGCCCTTCAATCGGGCCTCACAGAGGCAGAAAATAGCTCAACCATCTGCTTTCAAATCCCTGCGTTTGGCAGGTCCCGGGGGTTCGGGGAGGGGAGCCCGCCGTGCCTGGCACCCCGGATCTTGCCACGGCCACCGTGTGCCCAGCACCGCGTCCCGGGCCGGGGACAGCAGCGACAGTGACAGCAGTGCCACCGCGCCCCGGGAAGCCACCTCCCAGCACTGTCATAGGTGCCCGGGCAGAGGATGCTCGGGGATGGGGTCAGGGCACCGCTCAGCCTCATTTTCCAGCTGGATTTGGGAAGGGAACGGGCTTGGCAGAGCCTGGGGAGCGGGGGAGCAGAGGAGAGGTGCTGGTCCCGTGCTACCTGCAGCTAAAGACGTGAACACCCATCCCGGTGCCAGCCACTGTCCCGGGGGAGGAGACCCCACGGGAACCCGGCTCTGCAAAGCCACAGCCGCCCCTCTGGAGGCTACAAAGGAGGAGCGGGACCCCCTCTCCACCTTCCTCTTCCTCTCGCCGCGGCCACGCGTCAGCCCCGCTGCGGGAGCCGGCTGCGGGCACGGAGCTGCAGCGGCTCCGCTCCCTCTCCCCCCGGCCGCCTTCCCCTCCTCTCCCCGGGCTGTCTAATTAGGGCTGATGAAGTTTAAATAGCGGCCGGGAGCGGTGGCCAGCGCAGGCAGGGCCAGCGGCACCGCAGCGCGGCTCGGAGCGGCCGGGGGTGCTGGCGCTCCCCAAGTCCCTGTTGGTGGCCAGAGCTGGTGGCCCCATGGGTCCCCAACACCAGCCATGCAAGGGGAGCTTTTACCCCACACCCCCACGGATAGCGGGCTGGGAAAGCAAGGAGCGCTGGGCGAGCTGCAGACACGGGCAGGGGACACCCCCAATCTCTGCCACTCGCCACCAGCTCTGGCTCTCACCAGCACCGCCTCTGTATAACCGATCCTTTAGTGCTGCCCTGCGCCACTGTCCCCTCCGGTGTCACCCTGGAGCTGTCCCTTCCCCTGTTGGAGCTGGCGGTAATTAACGGGCCGGGGGAGGCGGAGGGGCCGGGGAGCGCCGGAGCCTCCCCGCACACACGGACGGCCCCGCCGTGAAATTTCCAATTAGGCTGCAAATACACGAGACGCCCCCGGCCCCGTGGCTGCCGTGCTGGCAGGGTGGCCGTGATCGATTACCTTGGGATTCTCCAGGATCCCGGCTTCATAGCTGCAGCAGGAAGGAGAGAGAAGTCACTGCAGCACCTGTAACTTGCAACCCCAAAACCCAGCGGGATGAGACCCTCGCTCCCACCCACCCCATGAGGATGGACTTAAGTACGTGGTATGGATTTCCAGAGCATTTTAGCAGCAGCCCTGAAGGGAGAGCCAGGCTTAGGAGAGTCCAGGAGATGAATGCTGCCATTTGGAACGTGGACAGTTAGATGGAAAGGGAGGATGGGGGATTTGGAGTCACCCATGGTCAGCATGTGGTGGGGCAGCCTGGGACAATGGGGGTACAGAGAGCTGCTCTGGACATGTAGGTTGGAAGGGACTGGAGCTCCAGATTCCAGGGCTCCTCACCTGATGTGCATTAGGTTCTCATCCATGCTCCAGGGCGTCTGAGGTGTCACAGGCACTGGGATCCCATGTTTCTGCCAGGAGGAGGAGAGTGGGGGTAAGACAGCCTGCAGGGAAAGCCAGCCCTCGTTGATACTGGTTCCCAGCAGGATCAGCCCCAAAAACACAGAGGCACAACCCTGGCCATAAGCAGGGCAGCACGGAGCAAGGTGGACTCCCATGTCCCTGACCCACATCAGCTCCCACCACAAGGGCCACCTCAACTGGAGCATCAGGGTCAGTGTGGCTACGAGGAGAATGCCACAGGCTGAGAAGGGCCCCAGAGCACCCCATGAACCCCAGAGATGGGGACACCAGCACAGATGTTGTCAGCTTTCCCTGGATCCAGGGTGGTGCAGTGGTCTCAGGTATGTGGTGGGACTGTTCCTGGCTGTTCTTTGCAGAGCCAGGAGCTGAACTTGATGACCCTATGGGTCCCTTCAAGATATTCCATGATTTTCTGATTCCCCAATCCAGGCTTCTCAGCAAGGGGAGGTCCCCAAATCTACAGGATGCTCTAGAGCCTAAAGAGGACTAATGCTCTGTCACGAGGGGACAGCAACACATCTTGCCAGCCTTGTGCAAACACACGGTGAAGCAGATACACCCCAAGGAGGTGGCAGTGCCCCTCTGAACCTGGGGACACCAAGCCCAGCGACGTGTGGCCACACACCAGCTGCCCCCCCAGCACGATGTGCAGCACCGAGCCTGGCTCCCCAGCAAGGTCACCAGCGTGCTCATTTATCCACTGACATTTCAATGGGGGAAATTGCCTGTGAAGATGAGGTGAATACGTGGGGGAATTGGTGGGAGAGGTGACAGCAGCAGGCTGACTGGAGCCAGCAGGGACATCACCCACCCTGCCAGGACACTGAGCTACAATGTGCCGGCTGTGGGGTGGCCATGGCAAAACAGGGATGGGGACAGCGGCTCCCAGCGAGCCTTGATGTGTCTGTACAGCCCGTGCTGCTGGGCAGCTCTGGCATTTCAGTGTCATCACAGCAGGGACATCAGTCAAGGGCTCAGCTGGGGACAGAGGAGCAGGGGCTGAACAGACATTCCTCATCTGCCAAGAACAGAGAAGGAAGTGGTTGTGGTTGTAACATCACAGCCCTCAAACCATCACCTGTGATCTCCTAATGCTGCAGAGGGACTGACTCAGCCCTGCTCCTGGGGGGGCACGGCCTCAGGCTCATGGGTTCTCATTTGCTGATTCCCCACCATAATTCCAGCATAGGACTTGCTGAGACACCCCATTAGCTAATCTAGACCTCTTCCAGCACAACTTAAAGCCATTTCCTCTTCTTCTATCTTGTATTTGCAAGAAGAGACCCACCATCTCACTTTGGGTGGTACAAACCCATCTTTCAGACACAAATACCCAGTAATCTTGAGCTGACTTGTGCCCTCAGCCAGCCTTGTCCTGCCACTGCCTCCTCCTGGCAGCTGGGGAAGCCAGTGCTCCCCAACCCATCCTCACCCCATTTCAAAGAAGATCCTCCAGGTCCAGACCAAATATCTTCAGAGCCTAGGCAGCTTTCGCTGGAGCCAAAGATGCCAAAACCAGAGAGGGATTTTATTCTCAGCTTCTGTCCCACCTGGCTCTGCCTGTGGTGAGGCTGATCCTGGAGCAGCATCCAGGAGAGCTTGGCCATTCTCATTAAGGTGTGTGAGAATGAAGCAGCCCCTGGCACAGATTTGCTGCCAGGGAAAGGCTGGATTCAGCATCCACTGTGCCACAGTGAAAAATCCTCTCTTTCCCTGGCACCAATGGAGCCCCAAACATCATTTTCTAATTCCCCCAGCACCAAGGTGAGCACATGTATGTGCTCAAGTGACCTGGCCATGCATCTCCCTTTCCTGAGGATGAAAATGAAGGGGAACCACCTTTTTTTTTTTGTAACAGATAACCAGAGACTGAGAAGTACTCAAACCGTCACCCCACAACCTTTTGCTCTTGGAATGGGGCCCCAATCCATTTCATTTCCCTTTTCCCCCCTTCCAAACAAACGAAACAATCCCCACAACCAAACAAAACCCCCAAACCCAAAACACATGTTCCATTTTCTATATAATAAAACCGTGGTGCTCTTAATAACTCCCTTATTTGACAATTTGTTTGGCAACATATGGAAAGCTCTCATAAACTCCCCTTCATAATACAACGGCAGATGGCAAACACAATCCTCAACACGCCACTCTCTCCCTCCCTAATGGGCTCAGAGGGCTCCTCACCCCACACCACATCCCTCCAGCTCCACACCTTGCCTTCCCAGAGATTACCCAGGCAGCTTCGATGGCAGCTATTTAAAAACTGAAGCAATTTTCTGGTTTATGCACAGAGCTGACTTTTCCCTTTTGATTGATTGAGCCGAGTTGTCAAGCATTTCCATGAAGTCGCTAAAAAAGAAAGGTACCCTGGTGGGCACGTAAAAACCTGATGCAAAACTTCTAATATGTTTTATTGTAACTTGTACTTCAAAAAGGAAGGGACAACAAAGGTGAATGTATTTGCTTTGTCTGTTACACAAGTCAGGGAGCTGGGACCCGTTTCCTTGGAAAGCAGGTTACAATTAACAGCCAGGTAATTAGGGGGCTTCTAGAAAGGAAGGAGAAAAAAAAAGAGCAGAGGAGGGGGGCAGGGGGGAACCCTGACCAGGAGGCTCCTAAGTGGTGCTGCAGGGATGTTGTGCAGGGTGTGCTGCTTTCACCTACCAAGTCATGGTAATCATCCTGTGGTGACCCTGAGCACCCCATGGTCACTCCAAGAATCCCATGGCTACCCTGAGCTTTCACAGCCACTCTGAGCACCTTTTGTTGCCCTGGGCATCTTGTGGATTCTGGCCACGCCAGCTCCTACCTTGGCATAATCCATCAGCTCACGGCGTCCAGGGAAGCGCTGGTAAAACTCGGGCAGCCTCCACGGTGCAACAACCTGGCAGCAGGGCAGGAGCATGAGATGAGGAGCCTCCTGTCCTCTTGTAGCCCCTGAGCCCCCTCTGCCTCTGGGAGCCAAGACCCACAGGGTGGTGGTCCCCCAGCTGAAATTTAATCTCCCAGCACAAGGTAGGAGTAAACCAAACCCCCACCCTAACCAGGCACTGGATGCAAAAGGGAAGCCGGCAGCAGCTGCCTTGGTACTGTCTCCTCTGTGTGCTCATGGTGTTTGGGGTAAAACTAGGTCAATTAAGCATCATTACAGCCCCCTGAAATGCCAAAACGTCGCTGCGTGCAGCTGGTGGCTTGTTAAAGTGAAGCAGGGCCGTTTGCATCGGTGTTCAAACAGAATTCCCACCAGCTGCAGAGAGGCCAGGAGCCTGTGGGGAGGCAGGGGGTGGTTTGGAGTGCCTTACCTTGATCTTGGGACACAGGGCATAGCAGCTGAGCTCGAACCGAACCTGGTCATTGCCCTGAAACATGAGTGGGAGGTGCTGAGGGGTCACCCCAGCCCAGGGTGTGACAGCACATACATGCAGCCTCTGAGGAGCTGTTTGGCTCCAGTCACAGCTCCCCTGCTGATATTGCAAACCTTGGACACAGAGGGTAAGGATCCTCTGTCCCATGGGAGTTCCTGGTCCCTCTCCACAGCTAGTTTGAACCCCAAACCACCTTTCCTGTAGCTCCTGATAGCTGTGTGCTCAAACCAGATTTGGGTGGTTTTTTCCCCCCAAGACATCAAAGGACAAAGAAGGAAGAGGACAAGGTGGGGGGAAGTCCAGAGTGAGCAGAGGGATGCAGCAGCTCATAAATAAATAGTTCAGAACCTCCCTTTACCTTAATTGGCCCTTGCTGATTAGGTGCCACTAATGAGTCCAGGTAGCTGGGAAAGGGCAAGGAGCAGTAGGAAAGCTGGGAATTACAAGCACTTCCAAGGGAATAACACTCACTGAAAGCTATTTTTCACTCTCACCAAGGGGCGTAAGGATCCCCCACTTCCCTCCCATCGGCCTGGAGGATACATTTACACCCGGGCTGGGAATTCCCCATGGACTATTACACACAGGCAAGTACATCCAGCAAAGCACTCATTTCCCTCACAGGCCCAAAACACATCCATCTGCTCCGGCAGCGGGGACACCCCAGATGGTCCCATTTAAGACTCCTCAGGCGGGTCGAGTTACCCGCAGTCAGTCCCTGCCAGTGCCCGCGGCTTAATGGCCTGGGGAGTGCGGGCAGCAAGGTGCCCCTGGCAGCAGGGATGGATGGATGGATGATGGATGAAGGATGGATGGATGATGGATGGATGGATGGAAGGATGGATGGATGGATGATGGATGGATGGATGGATGGATGGATGATGGATGGATGGATGATGGATGGATGATGGATGGATGGATGGATGGATGGATGGATGATGGATGGATGATGGATGGATGGATGGATGGATGGATGATGGATGGATGGATGAAGGATGGATGGATGGATGATGGATGGATGGATGGATGATGGATGGATGGATGGATGGATGGATGGATGGATGGATGGAATGGCGAGGAGGTTGCTGTTCCCTCTGGGGGTAGGATGAGCAGATGGACTGGACAGCGATGAGGTCGCTATTCCTTTGGGAAGTGGGATGAGGGGATTGAGAGGAATAAGGAGGTGTCTTTACAAACAAGCTGTGGGC